ACAATTCTTAAACAGATTGTGAATCAAATTTATAGGATATGAAAGACACCTTGCAAAGATCAGGATTAGGTTCGTTTCTCCAACCTCCTCGCATAAGCCTTGGATCATCGAAATTAAATCCCTTTTCTCTTATAGCACCAGTCGACCTTCGTTCCTGAGGAACAATAGGATTATTTCTTGTTCCATAATATGTGACGCAACATCCTCATATGAGAAGAAATTATACCTCCTGAATTTTTAAGCCATCACGCTGAGCAATTCCTCTTTCTATTTCAGTAATACCACATCCGTAACTTATTCCCCCAATTGAACATTTAAAAAACTCCATCAAATTTCTTGTGAGAGTTCCGGTTTTATCAGAAAATATGTATTCCACCTGAAAGATGCCAATTATTGCAACTCAGAATGTCAGATCAGGAAAAAAAAAAAAAGAGCATATCATTCATAAGAAGATTTAGCAACAATCCAAATGGTTGCAACAAACCAATAATATCAAACATGTGGCAATGGGCGAGTGGATTGGTAGTTTACCTGTCCAAGCTCCTCATTTAAATTCGAAGTTCTGGCGGAGGCAGGAGTATTTGTCTCATCATGATACATGTGAAGATCTCGGTTAATAAACTGAGTTGACTGAATAAACTTGATCATCTATGTTCCATTTGCGGAGGAAAAAGAGGAAGCATTCAAAGTTACTTAATTTGTGTACTGCAGATAAATGAAATCAAAAGAAGAAATTTGGAATGACCTACCTCGATAGAAACATATAAGGAGATTGGTATAATTGTAGAGAAAAGAGTGATTAGAGTGAAAAAGGTGAAAAAGGCTATCTGTGGCACCAAAAAGTACTATAAGCAACAATCCATATACACAATAAATCAACTGAACTATGCAAGGTTATTACCGTCATTCCATTACGGTATTCCCAATCTTTCTTTTGAAGACCCAAATAATAGTGGTCACGATCTGTCACGATTGCACTGCAAACTTCAACAGAATTTTTAAATAAAAAAGGTCGATGAACCAAGAATGCGATGATACATCAACATAGGACTGGATGAACCACTATATTGACTAGAATCCATACCAGCCTATAGCTCCAATCAGGCACATTATGACAAGGGCACAGAAGATAGTAATAATGAGTTTGTCGAGTTTCTTTTCCAGCGTACTTCTTTTGGAAGGAGCATTCATGGCATTCATCATCACCTGCAAACATTGCATTCACCATAAAGTAGATCAGACAGAGTGTATACATAGAAAATATAGAAGGATGCAAAAACAGGAAAATGTCATTAAAAAGAATAATCCTGAATGTTTGCATAGCAATAATTTTTTCATAGCTAGTTTCTTATAAAATAGGCTTCACGGCAGCTTACCTTCGTCTCATGACCAGTAAATATCACAGCACCAACAATGTGTTCCGTGTTCCTAAGACTGCATCCCTGAGAATTGAAATGTAGAAGATTTACATAACCCAAAAAAGATCTTGAATAATGAAATCCTGTAGACATAAGGCAGAAAAGGAACACACAGCTAAAAGCAGAAACAGTCGATCATACACGCAATAAAAGCTGGTCTGGAGAGAGAGGTAAAGTCTGCTTTTCTGCTATAAGATTCCCAGCGAAAGTGTACAGGGAATTATTAGGTTGCTCGCACTGAATTTCACCTGAATGGTAAAAGAGAAAAATATTGGATGAAGTTGATGAATACTGCTCAACAGTTAACAACGAATGGCATTATATAGAATGGACCCATCAGGTCAAAGAGAATTGCTTTTAGATATATTTCCAGAAGCAGGTGGATGAAAGACAATAGTACAAGCACAGATTCAGCTAAGATGTARATAAAAAATAATCAAKGCCAAAGGCTAACCTTTAAAMTCAGAAGCTCTCTCTGGTGTCAAGTAATCCCATGTCCTTTCAAGGGCCTTTCTGATTTTTAAATTTGTTTCTCCATCTAGGTTTGCAGTCTGCACTCACAAAGAGTACGCACAACAACACTAGAGTAAATATGTAAATTCAATAATCCTAAATAGCTGCTTTTGTGCTAGACAGAAAAATTAATTATAATAGCCGAAGGAGCCAAGCACCTCTACATAGCAAATACCATCAGCATTGGTGCTGGACAGGAAAAGAAGATCAGCTGGYAAAAATCCATCTTTTTTAATCTGCAAATATCAACAAAGWWTATTTACCAATCTTATAGATTTGGAGTTTAAAGATAATTTACAAGTTATGGAATCCTCRACAAACGCASCYMAGCCATGTTGTCAGAACAGGTAATTCCATAAACATGCAGATAAATATTTAAAAAAAACTTTGAGCTTTGGTTTTACTTTTACAGCATCCCCTTCAATTTAAGAAACCTAAATGATAAAGTAACACAATGGAAATGCAGCCAGTAGATACAAATTCCATGATTCCATGATATACTAAAATTCCTTTCAACATGTATACGCTACAAAAATGTCTAACACACAGTCAAATAAGCCTAGCAATTCGAAAAAGGTCAGTATTATGAAAATGAGCATAATGACACGCAAACGCGATAAAGGTGATTGAAAGTAACCAAAATTTGGGCCGTGAGAACAACTAAACATTGTCAACAATGTCTTGAGTTTCAGAACAACCTTGTTCGAACGCATAGTAATTCATCACCTCTGTTAGAAAAAATATACCTTGATAATATCTCCGACTTGCAACTTCCGCCAGGGAATAGGTACCCATTGTTGATCTTGCAAGACCTCCACTGTACTATTATTTATGGACATATCATTTTGAAAACGTTTCTGCAACAGATTGTTTGCAGAAGGATTTAGAAGTTGAGAAGCAAATGGGTTCTCAAACACTTAAGCAGTCTCTAAACCCAAGATAGATATTGACTGAATAACTCTATTCCATCGCAAGGCGAGAAGACATATTTCTATAAGGTTAAAACAAGATGAACTGGATGGTAGGCCCTTACCCAGTCTTCAAAAGCCTCTTTAATAAGAGAGACGAGAAGCACCATTGACAGAGGAGCCACATTTGTTATTGGATTTACAGGGCTGCAGGACAAACAGTTTATCTAGTTAGATTTTACAGAAAAGGAGAATAATACGAGGGCATCCTAGGGACAGGACGGCATCAYAATCTTGGAAAAACCGAACCAAAATTCCCGAGACATAAACATGCCTCTAAAAATCCGCTTTCTATACCATGGATCAAAGTAAGCTGTGACTAATAGATCAAAATTCACATCACATGGTTGGATATAATTTTCATTTGTTTCAACCACAAAGAACTGATTGCAGAAAATGGAGACAATGATGATTTAAACTGGTCACGGCATGCCAAATGATCAGCTAAAATGAAAGAGTGATTATATCCACATAAACTTCTTAAGAAGTCTCATCTGTATAGAAACAATTGTTCTATGGCCAAAAGATACTAGACTACCAAACAAGCACAAGTCCGTAGTCAAAACTAGACACATATCATGGAATTAAATATCTAACATACCTTATCGGTGTCATTGATAGACATGAAATTCCAAGAAAGTAGATATTTGCTATGCGCCTAAACTGTCAGAAAGAACGTTATTTCTCAGATCAGAAAGAAATGCCAAAAAACTGGAAAACAAATGGAGTTTAATGATCCAAATACCCCTCAAAACCTAAAGGTGCATTGCAAACACTCTATATACACACAAACTAATGAAAACCAATAGACTACATAATCAGTGCTTACAAGGATTATGTAGTTGAAAGCCAGAACAATAATGTAKAACTTTTTTTGTTACAGCATTTATCTAACCTGCACTTGATATATAGATCTAACGGATTACTCCGACCATGATTCTTCCCGATTTAAACTAAAATTTCCTCCTACACATATATGCTAGATCAGATGTAAGTGAACAATCCCTTAGGTCCGTTCAACTGTATAGAGCTATTAGCTGCATTACTAAATCCAATTAGCAACAAAAACACACACTTACTTGTTCAAACAGACCTTTGGGCAGAAAGGTGAAAACATTGTACTTTGTTGTAGAAATTGAATTGCCCTGCAACATTTCATCATATTATCAGAACAACCCAAAATTCCAATTCCAATGCCCATTTCTGTAATGAACATAGAAGAACATTACGATTGCGGAAATGAACACTCAACACTCCGGGCGTACCTTGAAACGGACGAGGAAATTAGAATCCCGGTCGTTGCAATATACGGTACGGAGACTCGGAGCCTGAGGCTGTATACGGCCCAACGTCACCGTCCGAGACGGTGCACGCAGGTGATTCGCTGACGAATCAACGCTCAATCCTCCAGGCCTAACCATTCGGATTCGCCCCTACCCGACCCAACCAACCCTTGGAAAATGGAAATTGAGCTGCGACTATTTTTTTACCCTCTGAATAATCCGATTAACCGAACACGAGATCTGTAACGACGGTAGAAACAGAGAAGAAGACTAGGAAAACAGAGGACTTTGATTTTTTTGTCAATTCTAGATATTCACCAAAATATGTAATTAATTATTCAAAAATATAAAAAGTTTCAAAATCGTGAATTTTTTTAATAACGCAACATAATCATATTACCCGCAGCATGAAACGGCGCCGTCAGAGAGACCAAAAACCCCTCAGTCCTTGACGTTATATATTAATGCCTTCGGTCTCTCTCACTGCAACC